GAAAAGTTTAAAGTCAGTTTACGGAAGCAATAACGTTTTTTTCTTTATTTTCTACTTGTTGAGACATCGGATTATTTACTACGACAAGTAAAATATATATACGGTTTTAAAATTTAAGGAAAATATAATAATTACACTGTGATATTTAATATTTATATAATAATATTATATTTTTTTGGTGGGACTACAACAAAATATATCTCTTTAATTTTTAATATAATTTTTTGAATAAGGGAGATCTGATTTTACTCGATTTCACTCTGATTGTTTCAATTCTATTTAGAGATCCGAATGCATACACTGCTTTATGCTTCCTATATGGAATGTGCATATAAAAAAAGAGAAAGGTAGACAAAGAAATTTTCACATGATGAAATAGAAACTACACACACACATATATATATATATATATATATATATATATATTTGAATTTAACGAAATTGTATATATTTAGCTATTTGTACACAAATCAAGGGATTTTCGCTGAGTGTTAGTCGCCTCGTTTATTTTAGACTCGCTATTCTGTTATTCTTAGGTGGTATTCTATCTTTAGTTTTGGCACATGTCTTACTATAAGTATTACGTTATAACACTAACTTACGAATATTAGATACATATGATATTGAGAACAAACGCAACAGAAATTATGTCACAGCAGAAATATGAGCCGTTCTATTTTTTACTAATTTATTCATTATATATATTTATAATCACTGGTCAAAATTCCAGCGTACGTTATATTTCGGTAATACAATATAATTTTGCATGTTTTCACGGTTGAGGAAAAATATTTTGCCAGGCATATACGTGTGGGAAGCATTATTGTTTTAAAATTCTGCTTTTTCATTGCTTAATGAATACGATGTAAAATAATGCTGCGGTGTAGAATGTGTATAAAAACAAAAGTTAGACGCGTCGCATAAATAAAGCGAACCTCGTTGCTGTTATCTATATAAAACCATGGCAGGCATTGAGCTAACAAACCTTGATCGATAAATATCTGACTAAAATATTTGAGATAATGATTCAATACATTTTGTATCAATATGAAATATACAGAAAAATATGCAAACGTGTTTTGGTATACTGTACATAAGCATTTGTTTTTTAATAATAATCTAACACAAAAAAAAGAAAGAAACGCGCGTCAAATTTAAACGATAAAATATTTTGGATCGCCCATTCTCGCGAAATTTCTATCATGAATAATTGAAGAGAGCAATATGAGGACGGAAACCATTAAAGGTTCTCAGTCAAATCCACATCAATCACGGGCATCATTTTCATTCGGCTCTCGTCTACTTTAGCATTAACACTTCCTATAACGAAGGTCTTCCACGAAATGCTTTTGCATGTTACATTCGTCTCAATGTCAATAGCATCGAATGCAATAATATCTTGGCTAAAAGGTCCAAGCAGCTCTAATTAACGATTACTGTATAACCGGTGGTTAACACCCAGAGAACTGATATAGCAATCACTCGCGATGCGGCACGCCTCTTGTTTGATGTAGATAATGATTATCTCTTTGAAAAATAATAATATAGTAAACCAGACAAGGAATCTTGGAATTTGATAAATATACGCGCGAATAGGTATTATATAAATAATAATTATAAAGTACTAATAATTTTTTATTATAATTAAATATTTTCATAATATTTATTATATAATTATAATTAATTTAATTTTAATTTTAATTTTATCTATAATTAACTTAATTTTAATTTTATTTATAATTAATTTAATTTTAAAATGTTGTATATATTTTATATGCGAAATAATCTTTAATCTTTAATAATTTATAAAAAATACATATGAGTATTAGATATATTTTTATTTCTTAAATATATCTATATATGTATATATATATATATATATATATATATATATAATATTATATTATATTAAATATATATACAAATTATCGACTAAAACACATAAAAACACATCACAAATACATGAAATTTGAAATAATATTTTCTATTATAATTTCAAACGAGAAATTTTCATATTATATTCTAATTATTACAAGGTTAATAATTATCTATTGGAACCGCTATTGCTTACGTAGATCACTGGTTTTATTACGAGAAACGATTTCACAAGAGTTGCAATTCATCTCAGAATTTGTCGCACCTACGGCCAATTGAGTTTAATTCAACTTAAATGATTATAATCTTTGATGATCTATGAGGCAATAGTGCATATTATCGTTCCTCGACATTTATGTAGTCTCATAATAGGAGAATAATAGTAATATTAGGGAGTTTCTTTGTTACTTAATAAGCTAAATAAATCATGCTGGCGGTTAATACTGCTAAGAACTAGATAAAAGCCGAAATAATTTATGCACATTTTTATAGTTTGTAGAATTTCATCCATGATCAAGCAATATTAAAAAATCCCAAAATTTATTCCAAGATAAACGTTGAAGGAATGCAGCGTTAAAATCTTATGAGAAATTAAAACCGGTTTCTAATAAATTGTTATAAAACTGTGGCCAATATGTGTCATTTCAGGATTTCTAGAATATTATTTGTAATCTACCAGTATTTATCAAGGCGAAAGTTTGGTTGTTGCAATTCTTTATTGAGCGATTATGTGCAGTATAAGACTGAGTTTATTGCGAATTTTAATAACTTCTTCAATCGATTCAGTAGCGCACGAGTAGATTCAAAAAACGTAATGGCGCATCGTTTACGAGCCTCTTAACGGTTATACATTTTTAACATTCACTGAAATCCGGCTTCTGCTTTTCTTGATGGAATCTGGAACTCGAGCGGCACACGCACTTATTTACGCAAGAATTACTTTGATATATATAGTTTGTGAGAATTATAGCACAGATTGTCTCTTGCTTTAATGGAATATCTTGATGATAAAAAAGAAAATTAAAATGATGAACAGATATGTTACACACATGTTTTTATTAGAAATTAATTATCGTTATTGAGACAATTGAATTTTATGTGTATTGAAATATTGCAAATGAGAAATGGACTAATTTTCTAATCGCTTATGTAATTTTTTTAAAGTTGCCCTCGTTTATTACGCAATTGTAATAATAAACTTTAATCGTTACGTTCACGTGATAATTTAAGTGATTTAAGGACAACTTTAAAAACTTCTAAGAATACAACTGTCAAGCTTATATTTCATTCATATTTCGCCAACTGTGATACTTTTTATATGCTTTTAAACTTTTATTTGAAACAAGAATTTAAAAAAAACATTTATTGATATTTCTAGTTGTTTTTAAAGATACTTACATACTATCACACTTTTCGTAAAACTGAATAGATTAGTCAAATAAATTTCTTAGGCGATAAAAGAATGAGCAGTAAAAACTGGCAAGATGAGGATTTATGTAATAATTTGTATATATAAATTTGAATAACTCACTACATAATATGATGTGAACGTATATGTGTGACTGAAGAGCAACAGCGGTAAGCAGACGACGCCCTTCATGATGGGGTTTTAATTAAAATTACGTACGTATTTACTTCTCGTAACGTATGTACGTTACTCTCTCTCCTTCTTTTCGCTTCTGTTTAATATTTTTATGAGCTTTTCATTATGAATGCGCGTGTATGCCTATGTATATTTGAATATGCTTGTATGCTTGCTCCTGGGCGAATCTATATTCGCAATCTCGGAAAAGCACAAGACATTTTTAAATGAACACCTGTGACGACGGATTAAATTGGTCCTTTTTTTCTCTTATATCCTACTGAATGCTCATTTGCGGAATTCGTATAAAAAAAATTCTATGCTTTTGCACGGAACGTCAATTGTCGTCAACAACGATACGTCTTTGAAGGGCTTACAACGTGTGACTTGTAACAAGAGTCTTTTTTACGCGAGATATGTGTAGGACCGTAATAAATGAGCGAAGGACCGTAGAAAAGAACGAGAAAAGGGAGAAATTGGAAAATTATTCACATTTATGTGATGCGAAGGAATGCAATGTCGTGTACGCGCGCGCGCTTGAGAGGAAATTATGAGAAGAGCTACAGATCGCATGCTGAATATCTTTTTACTGCACAGAGAGAAAGTATAATATTCGCAAAGATGCGACTATTTTTCTTCCATGTTATTCAAAAGATTTTATCTTTCTGGGTTTATCGTTAATTATATTTGAATAAACGTAAAATTTAATTTTCCAATCTGATATTTAAAGAGTTTTTAATTGAGATTTATTATTATTTTTATCAATATTTTACTGCATGAAAAATAATATAATTGTTCACAGATTAAAAACTACAAATTTAAAACTATAAAGTTTATTGCTTAAAACTTAATTATTTAAAAATCATATTGCAAAATATCGACTGTTGAATGTCTTCGCTCCAAGGGTTAATCCTCGTCGAAGCATTAAGCAATGAGGAATCTGCAATGAATATTCAACATATTTGTAAATCCATCGGTTTGTGCTGCATATGTATTATGAGAGAATTCATGGCAAATGATAGTTAATATGCTTTTGAAGGATGTCGAAATTGCAGAACGAAGAGCGGTCAGTAATCCTTGTAAACTTTCAAGTACATCAATCCGATTCTAAATTTTCGCAGAAATCTCAAAAACCGGAGCAATAAAATATGACTATTACTACGTCACGGTCCTAAGCCTTCTCTTATTTAATTTGTATTATTACTTTACGGACCGTTAATCCCTCTCGTTTTTAATAAAATATGATGTTTGCATGATCCATAGGATTTTTTTGAACGTTTGCAGTTTTACGAAATTTTAATGAAATTTAAATTCTCTGACGAAAATGAGAGAACGATACAACGTTCGCACGCAAATATTTTATATAATTACAAAAATAAGCAAATTATGAAAAGCAAGCATTCAATTTTTTTTGTTCATATAGTTCCGAACAAATGTATAATTTAAAATTTCTATTTAAGAGCAATGTAATGAAATTGTACATATGTAATGATATCAAAACGTGACAAAGAAGAGCGATAGTAATCTACCGGCATGCCGATAGGTTTGTTAAAGGGCTCCGTTACGGCTGAACGGCCGCGTACTTTGCGCCGCTTGCGGAACGTCTACGGTCAGACCGCATGCGGGATGGGAATTGGTAGCGACGGCGGGGGTGGAGATCGTCTCGAGGACGGTGAAGTCGCCTTTCGGCTTTCCGGCGACCGGGACCGCGACAGGGACGAGAAGTCCCTTAGCATAATGAGTCCCTTCGACGAGCAGGAAGAATGGGCGAAGATCTCGGAGATTATGGCATCGTTCGGAACTGGTCTTGTGCGAGAATCGGTGTTCGTCAGCGAGCTCGAGAAAGAGTTTCAAACGAGGCTAGGTAATCTTATCGCCGTGCACGATGATTTTTTTTATTTCGCCCGCGACGACATCGATCTTGAACAACTTCTCAATCGTAGATCAATTTGCATAACTTATTATAGTGATATTTGTGTCAATTTTAGAGAAAGTATATATCCGCGTATATATATGTTAACATAATGTTTCCCTTTCCTTTTATGTTAAATTGCACTTTTTTATATTTCAATGTTTTGTTAAAATTTGTTAAAGTCCGGCAAATTTTTCACAAAGGGATATTCTTTAATTTTGTATATCTCAGGTTTAAGTTCAGACATTAGCAGCAGTCCTATTGTTTCCACGTCCGTGGGTCAATGGCTGTCCAGTTTAAGTCTGGCGGATTATGAATCTCTCTTCATCAACTATGGCTTCGACGATCTGGAGTTCATAGTGAGTAGGCATGCGTTTCACATTCTGCGATTGCGATCGTGAAACATGCAGAAAATCGTTTAATCGCGTGATTGCAGAACGGAGTGTTGGACGAGTCGGATTTACGCGATATGGGGATCAACAGCGATCAAGAACGAGCGATGATCATGGACGCGGTCGGGTTGCTGAACAAACGAGTGGAAAAGGGAGGCGGCAGTCACGGACAATCGGTAGAGGAGTGGTTGAAAAGCATCCACCTGGAAAATTATGCGGAGACGTTCAGAAAGCATCTATACACTGACATGGATCGGGTCAAACGAATTTGGGAAGTCGAGCTGGCGGCAGTTTTGGAGATCCAGAAACCGGCGCATCGTAAACGCATTCTTGCGTCCGTGAATGGCCCGAATAGTGCACGCGCAGAAACTCGAAATGGCACGGGAACGAACTTGGAAGATTTAAATAAGGACCTCAATACGTTGGTAAGTGGAAGATTAAATTGCTTCTATTTTGATTATTATCTTACTATTAATGATTTTATTATAAATGTGAAGTTTAAAATCATTCTCGACAGATATATCAATTTTCTATAAATAATTAGAAATTAATGCGAGTTAAAAATATATAAAAAGCTCTCATACGCTTATAAATTAAGGGAAACATCAAGAAGTAAGAATTAAAAATATATAAATAGTAAAACGATATAACGCCTTATATATTTTTCTTAAATTAATATAAATATACTTATAACGAGATTTTACTGCTTTAGTTGGAAAAAGAGTGTTTTCCTTTGTGAAGAACGCCTCAAAACTATAATCAAGAGAAAAAAGTTTTTTATTTGTGAATTATAAAATTCTCGATAAGATATAAAAATTTATATTTTAACTCAATAAAAATATTTACAAGACTTGCAATTTCCTCTATTTTTTCCAGAAAAAATATCTATTAACATCATTTACAATGCCTTGAGCTTTGCTATTGCTTTTAGCATGTCTTTTCTGTTTTTCTTTTATACGTTTTATTATTTATAGTCTGCCAAATGAAATAATATAAAAAAATTTTATAATAGAAATAGGACATATTACTCTTGAGATATACTTGCAGGTTGAAAGAAAAGTACATTATATCATGTGTATGTTGAATAGAAAAAAACATTTGTATATGAGTGATATGATAAGATACATATATAAATATAACGATAATTGTTTTTATGGAATGAAAAATGAGTAAAAATAATAACAAATTTTACATCATGTTTTCCTTTAAACTTATTGATTTTGTAATTTTTTTAAAATATAAAATCACATTTAAAGTAGTTCTGTACAGTTTTCTGATTAATTATGTATTGCCATATAACGACTTCCGTTTCAGTAACACTTATTGGTAAGTTCATTGTATCTGAGCAATGAATGAGGTATTTTTTCTGTTGAAGCATATACCATTTTACCCGTTTTATATCGGACAAAAAATTGAATTTTTTAATTATTAAATTATATAATCCAAAATATTCAGTATATCATGTATCGAGATATAGAAAGAATTGGTAAATAATGCGTTCAACGAGGGTGTCTGACAAGAGCGAACACTGCCGGCGAGGGTAGGATGCACCAGCAATCGAGAACTGGGGATGGTGCGGCAAACCCGACGCATTTTGCTCGCTCGATCGCGTTATAATCTAAATATCGTGGCTAATTGGAGACTGGGTATTGTGATGCACGCGCGTAAGTGTACTCTCTCTCTCGGCGATGATCGTTCGAGCGTCACTCGATGCTTTTTGTTCGGATGCCTCCACCGTGTTAGGTGTCGATAAGTACATCGCACTGTTCGCCCGTATCTTCCCGCTCGTGTTCTCTTAATTAGCTCATTAAATCCCGTAAACGTCTCCGGCGACCGGATTCATTCGGCTCGCATCATTCTCGCGCTCGATAATCTCGACAAATTGGTCTCTTCTACTCTTTCAGTTGGCCTCTTCCTCCCTTGATTTTTCGCAGCTATCGGATCCAACGAACCGTAGTTTGACTCCGGCATTCTCGTTGGTAACGCCGACGGATTTTCGTTGTAGTCCATACGCTCTCCAACGTTCGAATTTTACTCGTTCTCTCTCTCTCTCTCTCTCGAGTTTTTATTTCATCTCTCTTTCGCTCGAGTCTTCTGCAATTTGTCACAATGGCGATACCCGGAATTATATTCAGAAGCCAGATGGAGCGAACGATACGGATTGTAATCCGAATTCGAGTGTCGCGCCTATCCGGTTCGAATCCAATTTATTTGCAATATCTGAAATATCGTGATATTGCTACACGATGTAGTGTTCTGGCATAGTTGGTAACAGGTTTCTTTTTGGTATAGCATGAATGTAGTTTACAACGCAATGCGTTTACAAGGGTAATTGCACGCCGCACAAAGTAAACTCGGGATGAATTCGACTTGGTAATATGCCGTATAAAAGAATGGTGCAATTTTTTTTACATTGCACATGTCCCCAGCATTTCGTTAAAATCGATTAGTTCAACAGATTCTTGTCACTATAAAGCTATAAAAAAATATCTGTCAGAGAAATTGCAACCTCGGGGCAGACATGGCAGTTTCTATTTGGAATTGCGCAGAAATTGGGATTTATCTGTAAGAGTGTGTAAAAACAACTTTGTTTCGGTATACAATTTTTTGCGATGATTGAAGAGAAAGTAAATTTGGACAATTTAAATATTTTCCGCGTTAAAGGATTTTGAAGGCAAATATATATCTGCAATTCTCTAAAGAACACAAAAAATTATTATTAAAAATTATAAATTATATAAATTATAAAAATTATATATTTATTACGCAATTACTATACGTTACATTATACAATACTTACGGCATTAAAGATTACGTACATATTCCGTGAACGAACGACTTGAACCACATTTTCCCGGTATATTCGGGATTGCCGGGATAATCCGCCGGCTGATGCGGGACAGCTTTTAAATCTGGTCGCGCTGTTATTTCCGTAGAAGACGAACATACAGCAGCTGAAGGAGGAGATACGGGAGAAATTGCCGGAAGCAACGGTAGACGGTAACGGTGGCACGTCGATAACCAGTGGAACGAATTCGACGACCACGGGTACATTAAGACACCGTAAAAACAGGCCGGCTCCCCAACCACCCCAACGACCTAGTTCGCATAATGGGGCGATCTCGGCGCCGGAACAGCTCGAGATCAGAGCTCCGTCCGAGCTGCTCTTTGGCGTGCCTTCCACCCTCAAGACGCAATGGAGGCATCAACCAAAGGCTCTAGTCACCGGCTGTGTCACGTACGTCGCTAATGTAAGTGTCTTTTATGTAGCTTATGTCTATTATCTTGTATCTTTGAAAGAAACTTCTTTATTCTCGTTTCTTATTCTCTAAATGTCATTTCATTAGTTTACAATAGTAGTTTTCCATATCATATCGTTTAAACTGTTAAAACGTTATTTTAAATTGCAAATCTTTTGCAATTATTACATATGAAAAATTATATATGAATTTTCTTACTTTTCGAGATATAATTGTTTTATGTATCTAACGTAATCTACGCGGATTTTGCATGTGAGGTGTTTCAATTAAAAAATATATATGTTGTGTAAAATAAGAATTACTATTGACGTTACAAAAAAAAGTAATACAAACTTGTAGCAAGTTATTATTGTATAATTGTACTATTTTGTTATAATTTTATCTGTCGTCTTTTTTGATTATATATGACAAGTACATTATGACACTCGTTAAATCGCTTCAAGGCTGCCGTTGTGATTATAGTTAATTCGTGAGATACGATAATAAGCTTCGTGCAGAAAATTGCTCTGTCTCTATTAATTCCTCGGAATATTCCAATTCAGGAGAATCCATTTGCATTCAAAATTGTTTAATGAGTTACAAAATTTGTGGTTAATTCTACAAAGTTTAAAGATCTTTTTTAAATTTTTGCTGTTGATTTTTAGAAAAAAATTCTTTCTATTTTTAAATAAAATAGTATCTGGGCTCCACCGTCGTCAAGGAATTACGTGGTACTGAGTCGACGAAAAAGTCGATACAGAAGCTGAAGAAGACATTTCGGGAACCGAGAGTCCTTGACATTATGCTGGCGATTTCTTATCGTGGTGTTCGTTTTCTCAACACATTAACTAACGTAAGACTTTTTTTCTGGATGGAAAATAATAAGCGTATAGAATGAAAATTTAGAAATATAACTTTTTTATGATTGATACGACAGGAGCCAATTTGCGAGCACGAAATTCGCAATATTCACTGCGCCTGTCAGGATGCTGATGATCTTACTCACTTCGCGTATATCACAAAGGATCACGCCAGTAGCACACATTTCTGTCATGTATTTTGCGTCCCAACAATGGTAAATATCTATTTTAGGGAATTGTAGAGGAAAACTGCTCTAATTTTTTATACTGCATATCTATTTAATTTATTGCGAATACCGAGCGCAACTATTCGATTGCAGGATCAAGCGACAGAAGTCATATTGACTTTGGGTCAAGCTTTCGAGGTAGCTTATCAGATGGCATTAAAGGACAAGATCGGTGGCCACGCAATTCGATCTCAATCTGCTAATCAATTAACAACGCTCGCCGGATCGTCGAAGCCGACGACCAAAATGTCCGTGTCTCCCGATTCCGCATCCGATCCCCTCAGTCGAGACACGGATCATGCTACGGCTCTCAATTCCACGGCGTGCGCGAATCCCAAGATGAAATCGCGATCAAAGTCCATACCGAATCCAAATCTCCATACCGTTAATCCAAATCCAACTCAGGACAGTAACTCCAATTCCAGTTCCAGCTCGACGACCACCGCGAACTGCAATCCCAGCTCGAATTATGCCTCGAGTCCCAGCACGAACTCGATCACCAGCTCTAACTCGAACAGCACCACTAATCAGACTGCTAAGCTCTTGGTCACCCATGGCCGTTCTCATTCCGTCAACGACATCAAGGTAAACGGTAATCAATTGAAGTTAGCGCCGGCACCGGTAGACGACATCGGTATCGGAGTGAAGGATATGAAGCCCGGTTCCAGAGCTCCGATCGCGCTTTCCGAGGAGCTCTAATCTCGGATTGAAATGCATCGCAATAACGTCATCGTGTAGCGTTTGGTATGACCGGAATGCATCGCTTTAACTTCGACAGACAGAAATCTTTTATTTCTAAATTCTCAGAGATTGCATACGCAAGTTGCATACAAGTGACTGTCATAACGACTTTTCGACTCTTCAATTTAGCAACATATTCAATGACATTTACGATGAACGCGTGAGACAGTTACAATTCGCAATTATTATTCGCAAAATTCGCGAAAGATGTTTAACAAAGTATCATTTGTATAGATACGCAACTCGCGAGATTTTGAGATTTATTATAGTATGGTTCCTTAACGCGTAAGAAGAAGTGTCTTTGTCAGAAATGTCTATCACTTTTTATTCGATTGAATTTGATTCTATAACTTCTCCAATAACATACATATGTATTACTCCAGTAACGTACATATGTATTTACATATGTATGTACATATGTGTACATGGATATACACATTCATCGCTGGAAGGGGAAGTATTCAGTTGTTATGGGATTTAACGAATGACACATATGGCCTCGAGAATGACGAAGGTAAGTAGCATCGTCGCTATATTCTGCACCTGCAGATTGATATTCGACTGATTTTACAACAATGACACTGTGATCTTGAACTATGCGAAGTGTGCATTGGCCAAAGTGATTCATCGAGGCAACTAATCGATTGTTCGCCGCACATACTTCCGGCGGATGATACAAAACGCATTAGATCTTTCTTCCTTACGACGCATCGTCATAGTAAACAGTATTATTATGTCACAATTTAATGAACGTAGATACGTTCATCATGATATTATCTAGCGAGGCGTGAAATCGCTATAATAATGGATGTGCAATTCTCAATGTGCAGCTTTAATCTGTCGCGATTACACTCGGCGATTTATAGGTACCCGATTTTCGTCCGATGTACGAATCGATTGTTTTATTTATCTCGAAAATGCTATTCGTAGCGTTGATATTTGTTCGCGGACCACAGGAAACACGCGAAGGAAAAAGTGCGACGTGCTAACACACATATGCTCAATATTGATCCCTCGTAAAACGTAAACGGTGACCAACGAATCCGTTCCGTACTCCCCCCGTGTTCTCTCCGTGATTTTCTCATTCCCCGATCCCAAGTTCCGATTTCGAGTTACAATCGTTTCATTCTTCAAGACTGAGGATCCTTATCTCGTTTTTATATTTTTAATGTAATCTACAATATAGAAGAGGAAAAATTGAATCGAAAAGAGAGGGATTTTAATATATTTATTCGGCGAAGCTCGTGTGCAAATACAGGAAATATATACGAGCGTAACATCAAATATTTATCATAACTTCTATTTGATACTTAAATGTTACTCGTTGAAAAAACAAGAAACACAAAAAACGCTCTTAAATGCATCGCAATTGATTGCGATTTAAAAAAAAATGTCAACTATATATACGTCACTAGTTAGCAAAAAAGCATGGTTAACTGACTTCTCTTCTCTCTCTTCACTTATGATATAATTAAAATTATATAATCTAGAAAAGATAGAGAATCGATAGAATCGAATCTAGTTAATTAAGGTTCGCGCGAAACTGACATAATATGACATTATATTGACGTTGTGCGTAATAGGGATATTATTCTGTTTTTGCAACATGTGGGCCTAAAAAAATTGGATAATTATCTTACAAGAATCTATTCAACGATATATCCCATTCATTCGACAGCACATAACGAAAAGAAACTACAGCGAAATTTTATATAGATTTATAATTAGACACATTTTCTTTGTTTCTTTCACCTACACCAAAGAAACATAATATATATATAGATACATATTTATATATTTGTGAAAGATACTATATGAAAGACAGAATGACAGATAATAACGGAAATTAAGGATGACCAGAGCCGTCAGAGAGGGAAAGAAAAACGACAAACTGCCAAAACAATACACCATCATCACCTCGATAGCTATACGCACACTTTGTCACGTTTACAACATAATTCATTATATGTTAATAATTAAGATATATACAAGATAGATGTGGACATCGACGATTTGGAATTTCCTTTTTCGCGAGGTATAATTAAGTATTCTATGCATTTGATGTATTCATGTAGCAGCTATGTTTAGTGAGTAGTGTTGGTAGGGAGCATGTTGTATCGATGTGTCGATAGATACTATTTAATATATACTGTATAAGAAACAAGGAGAAGAAGCAGGTACGTAGCATATAAATTGTCATTGATGGTGGCGCGATAATTTCTTCGCGAACGAATAATTGATTTGTTCATGTGTGAATTCGCGCAATGCAATTAAGAGTGCCAATGCGCGAGCCTATATCGCCTATATTTTCAATTCGATCTCACTGTTTGTCTTCCGGGAAAATATTTCGAAGAGGAAAAATCATAATAATGGAATAAATATATGGATTTTCCTTTTGTTCATTTTTTTAGATATAACATTGATAAATGCACGCTATTTTAAAAAATATAAGTCGCAAATCGATATTAATATACAAAATAAAAAATATTATTAAGAATAAAAAACACATATTAATGAATTATTAAATAATATAAATATTACAATTCAATATTACAATTAAATATAAATATTACAATAATATATATATTAAAATTCATACATATATATTTGTGAATGACGGATTATTCCTTGCTTTATTTTTTTTCAATATACACGATTTAATTGTAGCGATTTATCCGGAAGGCAAACTTATTGAGGTCGATATTGATTTTTTTGGGTATCGAGATGGATTTTAAGAAATGTGAAAATGCAAATCTCTCGCACAAAAAGAAAAGATTGATTCTCGGACCAAGCAAGAACAAGCAAGAACATTTTGCTCGTTACGGATTATCGTTAGAATATTAGGGCCAGTGCATCTCGCCACTGCGCTTTTTCACAAAGGCATGGAGTTTAACCTTGTGCCCATTGGTACCGATAGCGGTATAAGATATTTTGTGCTGTCGATATTATATAGTACGATTTTTAGAATATATATGTACATATATACATACATATAGAAAATTACACGGCCACCGTGAATCAGTTTCTTCCATTAATACCAAAGAGATTGTAAGTGATCATTTATATCATTGTGATTTATATATTTAATGATTATCGTAATTTATAACAATTATTCTTTATGATTTATTTAGATACATTTTGTCATGATTTGTAACTTGCATATAAAGTTTTATCGCACATAATTTTAACACAATTGACGCAATAATGATTAGTCATATCGCTATTTTTGAAATTCATATATACTAATTTTAAATGGATGTGGTATTGTATATAATTATATAATCGAATGTATTTATCGCATGCATGTCAATAAACGTGAGTTTTGTTTGCTTTACGCCAATCAAATTTGCATAGCAAATGCATTTTGACGCGTCGTCGGTTAACTCTACAAAGGTCCTGCAACAGTGCAATTCGCTGAAATGTATTTAGAATCCTCTCTCTCTTTCTGAATATAGAGGTTTAGATATAAATAACATCACATAGAACGACATTCTAATAATTATATATCATAGACTTGTATCCTGTATAACTTATATATATTGTTATGTGTTATTTATGAATTTATTATTTCTGTATATTTTTTGTTATTCACCGAACGCTGACAATAAAACATGATTTTTTGTTATAACGTTGTTATTTTATAGATGGGTATATGTAATTAGACCGATTCTAAAAACGATTATACAACACGCTCTTGACAATAGCGATTTAATTCTATACATAAATGTGCATCGTTGTAAACTGATTCCGGTGGTAGCGTATCCGCGGTCCTTTGTATGGTTGTTGAAAAAAAAATCTGTGTACAGTTGTCGATATTACCTTCGTTTCGGTCGCGAGCGCGAATTTGCGCTTTTAAGGCCGTAGTAGTAGTTGGGTGCATTTCGCGGATCGTTACACACGAAATGCAACTGTTCCTGATTTTCGCGCAACCAGGGATATTAAAGCCGGAGTTAATATTTCGGAGCACGAACTTCTGTACTTTTTAATATACGAAATCTACGAGTCGATCTAGTCCCGGAAAGTTATTAATTCCGAAAAATATGATATATTCCCCGGTATTAACCGCGTACCTGCGCCAGTAAGAGTTCGTGAAGCGAGATGAATGTATAGGATAATACACGCACACACAAGATGTGGCTCGGTAAAAAGAGCGGCATTCCACGAGATACACATACACGCACAAACATACGTACATAAATAGATGTTTTCACATTTTTCACGAACGCTCATTTTCTTTGTTCTTTGGTCGTTTTCCGCTCATGTAACGGCTAGCTGGAAACTGAACTTTAATTCCGCATAGTCGACGGCGCGTTATCAAGAGGGAGAGTACGTCGTTAATTATTAACTAACAGGGGTAATTGTGTACGTATGTACTCGCGTCTGGCGCTTTGTATCGAGCGCACAAATATCGAACAATCCAGGAATTGAAATAGATATAATTTTGATAAGTTTATATTTCATAATTTGTGGAGTTTGTCTACAGCTAATCTGTAGCTTAATTATTCTAATCCTCATTGTCATTAATTTTTAAGAAAATCATATGTCATTGCTTTTGCCTTCATTCAATCCCAGTAATATATCGATCTTCTACACTCTTAAGATATAGGAAAAATAAAGGCTCAAGGCGGAGGATTTAATTAATACTTTTAAGAATCCTATTCATCTTCGTTAATGTAACGTATTATTGTTCGTGTTCAATATAATTTTATAAATATTTTCTTCGATTCTAATTCAAATTGTGATTACTCATATGTAAATTTATAATATTAAATCCATCGGTAAAATTGGAGTTGTGCGCGTAGCTCTCGATCGCAATTATCGTCCTTGCAATAAAATTGGCGACAAGTTAATAATATTTTGCACTGCCGAAATAAATAAACAATTACATTTACTAATACAGTATTAAAATTAGTAATTATTACTTTTTCCACTTCTTTTGAAATGATATTTAATCGACTATGACAATAGTTGTATTGCGTTTTTAAATCGGTATCTTAAGACTTATATATTCATCGCATGAAACACGTGATCTATCTATCTGTAATCATCTAGATCGTTGCACATGTACATGTTGAAACAACTTTTCATTAGCGCTATTCTCTGTTAGTGTTAAGCTATACTCTGTAAATTTCTCATCTTTGATAGAATCTCTCGTTAGAAAAATCAGACGATTTGCAGTGATTTGTGTCTTCTAAATATGTTCAAGAATATATTAGAGAAACACCGAGACGGAATGAAATTGTATTTACTCGGAAGCGTACGGAATAATGGGTCACAGAGAAACCAAAATATGAAAGATGAATCTTTACATATACACATATGTAGAAGTGTACATAGCGGGAGCGAGAGTAAATGTAAAATAAGTGAACCAGAAGCGATTTAAAAGTCGAAATGTCATAGTGCGAAATGCTATGATCGTTGGAATGGAAGAGTAGATAAATCTCTGGCATCGAATGGTCACACTTTTTCGATCGAATGTTGTGCGGATAGGACATTCGGAAAAAAATTGAATATAACTTTGCTTTATATCTCACACACAATGATTCTCATAAATATTAGTTTTAATTAATTGAAGTTTAAGCGACTCCTCTCTTCTTTTTTCTCTCTCTTTCTCTCTCTTTCTCTTTTTAAATATAGAATTTGAAAAAGACAGGAAATCAGTAACCTCACAATTTTTCAACTTAATTACTTTAATTAAAATAATTTTAATGAGAACAATCCATTTTATAGCAACTTATTATTCGTATATATTCGTTGAATTTAATGAATAAGCGTAATGCTTACTATGAAGAAGAAGGTAGTTAACAGCTATACAGATAAGATATATGTATCTATTAGACATAAGAGCTAAACTAAAATCATATATCTTGCTTCGCCTCTTATTACGCGCCGTTGACATAATAAGTTTTTCACAAATCATCCGTGTATCATCATGCAATAGTGCTCATATATGATTAGGTCGTAATGATATATGTAATCGTAATCATTTGCGGGATAAAATTTTGACAAATTGTCAAAATTTGAATTTATAATAAAGATTCTTAGAAGAGCAACGATTATGTTATCATCGTTAAAACTGTCGAATTCTATATAGCATAGTAGATTTTTCTTATTTTTAATATTCTTTATCGAGAATAATTTATTATCATCTATTGAGGCTTCGCGATATGATAGAAGAATAAAAGGAATGTGAGATAATAAAATAGAAACTTGTGTGTGAGATACTAAGGCGTATATATATAATCTAGGTTTATGAAAGTATATAATTTTCAAATGTGTAATTAATGATTAATTATATGTAATTTGCATTTATATCGCAAGAAAATGCAAATAGATCTCAAAATATCTAATTTTAAATTAAATCAAGTAAGACTAAGTATATAATAATTAATAATTATATTTCCTTTCCCTTTTCATTATAAATGTTAAAATATTTACGGTGCTCGATCTCGGGTTATTTATGATTTGACGTGGCAGGGAATAGGAGCTTGATCGTTGTATATTCTCAAGATTCACGATGGAGCAATAAAGCGGAGAGTGTACTCGCTAGTCATGGAACCGTACGATACGCGACGCCGACGACGTCGGTTCTCCTTGACGTCGACCCGACAAAGCCTTAGACTCTCAGATGGTGCGACCGAAGTGAATAGGATATTCGTCGGGAAAACTTCGCGCTATGAATATTTATGTATGCTTTACGATCTCGCGCGCACATCCGAGAAGTCCGGCGAGTCGGCGACGAGTCGAGAACATAGGATTTGTGCGGTTGAGTGTAAGTACGTACTCAAATATATAAAAAAAAGATAGAGCGAGAGTGAGAGCGAAAGAGCGAGAGGGAGAGAGAGAAAGAGAGAAAAGACATGTAAAGACACATGTCGGTGTCTTTTGAAATCAAAAGGAACAAATCCGTATGGAACTGTTGCCGAGGATGCCATATAATAAATGCGCTATTTTATACCGAGCAGCCTGATTAGAAGCAAACTTCTTATATACGTTCTTGTATACATTATATTTATTATTGTTCATGTTTACTAGAATGATATATATATGAGACAGAGATTATTCCCTGGATATCTATAACGCCTTGAAGAAAATAAAACAGATACTTTGCGGGAGATCGTTGATGATTTATTTGAGCCTGGGCGCATCTCTTTTCCCAATCCTATTTTACCTACTTGTTTATATAAGTCTATTTAATTAAATTAGTTAATTCAAATATTGATTTATTCTATTACTTCATAGCAACATCTTGCGCTAAATCTATTTGTCGTATATTGAGAAAATTCATTTGCGATTCTCACTAATTAATATAGGATAAAGTTTATTTTCTTCGCAGAATATGTACAGCCGTATTATAAGCGACCTCAACTTTTCCTAAGTGAAATTGGTATTGTTAGTCGCCGAATCGATAATGCAGCTTGTACTTTGTATAATTTCTTCTTTCCTCTT